TTAGATGACAGTTTACGAAATTACAGTAAAAGAACAAACATTTTTTACTTCGTGTATAATAAGAAAGCCGTCCGCGATTCGGGTAACAGTTGGCGCTATTCTCAATCATTGTCGTGTTTCAGCAATGCTGTAAACAATAGCATGAGATTATGGCTTTTCCCGTCTTAGTAAGTTGAAAGCTTTCGCAGTAATGAGTGACGGGTTATTTGCTTGAAGTTAGATTAGATAATTTTCCAGTCGCACCATCACAAAACGTAATTCCGTTACTTTACATTCTCATTCATACACGATCCACCGACAATCAAAAGCGTAGCGAACTTTAATACCCGGAAGCGGCAATAAGGCCGTTAACTTACCTATGTCTATTAAATAGGCAAAATTGGTCTATCAATCTTTGGAAGTTAACTAGCCGAGCGTAAATAAACATAGAACCCACCGAAAGCATCTTGTCGAGTGGAGTTAGTGGATGTTTTTGGGGGTATTTTTGTTTTTCGAGATACTTCATCAATGCCGCACGTCGTGGCAGCACCTGGATGGATTATTTGACGTCTAAGTGGCTAAAATCGTTAGAAAAACGTAGTTTCTAACAATAGTCTAACAATAATTAGAAAAAAGCGAGCGAGCCAGCGAACAAAGTTGACTTCTCGACCATTTCTCACATAATTGTCACACACTACAAAACTGACCACTACAAAATCAGTGCCCGTTCCATGTAGATCATTTAAATGGGGATAACTATATGAACAATACCACAATAACGTTTGGTTAGGGTTTGTCTAACAATGTTCCCTGATGAAATATTCAGCTTTCGTCGGAGCAGGAAGGTCGCAAGTATACGGGAAACGACAGTCGTCAGAATCCCGATAGCTACTTATCCATTTATTTAGTAACGAGGGGCGGCTGAAGACAGCTTTTTGCTAATTTGTTGGTAGTTATCGCACGACCTTGAGTTATTACGTTCTCAACCGAGTCATAAAGTTTCATCACTTAACTTTCCTGATCAACAAAACGCCGGCACAGGCAGGTCGAGCAGATTCACTAAATAGATGATTTAAGAGGCGTATTTGTTGTACTCTTGTCAACCGGTCCATTATATTTGAACTATGAGGCTGTTCATTGCGGCGGGAGATTTATCCGCACTTTGCTATTGGTGCATTCGACTACTGAATTTTTCGCGAGGATGCGACCCCATTACACAAGGGTGATTATGGAAACCTCAGATACAATGCCGGTATTTTACACAGCCAAAGGCGTAAACGTCAGACTTCGATAGTGCCTCAACTCCAATAATAAGCGTAAATCAATATTTGTGCATCCGTGTTAAAATTATGAATCTTAGACATTTGTAATGCTCGATATTGTAAGGCTCGATTGATAAGAGACACTAGCGGAACGTTATCGTTATTCAGCTTCGACCTACCTTCATTTGCATCGCAAGAATGAGGCTTTTGAATTATCTCGGCCCTAGAAAAGTAGCTTAGTTAGTTGATCTGTTGTGTTTAGCTTATATTATAGCGCAGTTTTTATACTACAAACTGATATTTATGAATGAAAGCATATTAAGTGTTATTCAAGTCGGTCATTTTAACACCATAATAAGCGATTTGTTCCGTGAATTGTAACATACCCCCCTATCTGTTTGTAATTTATATTGAAACGCAATTTCGTAATACACCTTAATTGCAACCTGCTTAACGAGGCCTTCCCGGCTGCTTGGCTATCGGCAACCACCTGTGATCCACGGTTTGAAATGCAGCTGGCGACCGCCTCACTTCAAAAGTGTTCGAAAAATGTTCTATTCCATTTGTACAGTAGTTACTTAAGCGCCAGCTAGCGGCCTCCCCAAAAACCTAGCACATGTCCAGATCGCGCGCTTTTACCGTTTTGGCCACGGGTGGCGCCACTGCCAAAAACTTCAGTATCGATAAGAATTGTCCAGGCGCAGTCGCCTCCGTGGACTGAGCCTCATTCCGGCTCTTGGCCTTTCCTCATCTTTATCTTTTTCTGAGTCGTGTCGCGCAAGCCGCCAACCGGATAAAGTGAGAAACTGGCCGTTGTTGCCGCCGTCGTTGATGCGGTCCATTGCTACCGAAATCCGCTGCTGGACGGCTTATAGGGCTCTTTTTCGCCTCGGGTCTCCCGGCAGCAATTTTATTCTTTACTGATAGTGTTGGTGCGGCTTTTTTGTTCGCTGTTCGGCTTGTCGTCACCGACATTATCAACAACGGGTAGCATTTCTAGACCAAGTAACGTGAAGTTCGTGCGTGTGTGCGTGAGTGTAGTAGAAGCGGTGAGCAGATCCTCGTGAATCTCGCCAGTTGTGTACGATCTTCGGCCTTCCAGATGCTGCTATTCCTTTCTATTTTTGAAGGATGTACCAGTTATAGTTGAGTACTAATCTCTGCCTAGCGTTGAAATCAGGAACCCTTCGAGTAAACTGATATATAACCTCTTGCACTGTCTAATAATCTCTTGGTCGAGAGGAAGCAAAGGTGCTGAACGACTATAAACAATAGCAAAGTAAGGATTACAGGTGGGAAAATTTATTGCCGAGCTTGCCTGCTGCGCTTCTTTCGGAAACAGGGTTCCGTGCAAGGTGGATTTGTTTGTGGTAATACGCGTGAGTTTGATATGACGAAGGAAGGAATTGAAGACAAGGATGCACTAGTATTCTAGTTAAACGTATTCATCGGTGGGAGGTGAGTCATTCCGTCGCTAATAGTCGGTGGCAATTAAGATTGCCGGTTGCCAAACTATTAGCAGCTTATTGTTTTCATGTGATTACCCTTATTTTATTTATATGTGAGCATGTATGTGTCGAACTACTCTGATCTGAGCTTATTTCGGTATAAGCAACACATTCTACAACATCGAATGTAACACTATTTACTTAACCTTATTGTTGCTACACGTGTTTATCACGGATTAGGAAATTCTTCATCTTCGTTTTTATAGATTACGTGCATGCCTAGCTTTAAATATAAAGCGGATCTAATAGCACTATAGTTAAACTTAATTCGGTAAAAAATATTTAAATAAATTTTTTTTTTTAGTTTATGCCAAAATTACTTAATCATAATGCGGCTGACGAAAAACCTATTAAATAGAAAGAACGAAATGAATAAAGAAATATATGTAAGCTCGGTACAAACATCGGGGAGCTCATAATAGGCGCTTCATATACTTATCAATGGACATATTTCGGGTCTTTTACAATTTAGATATTGTCCGTCATAAGCAATTAAGCAAATACTAGCAGGGGTAGCACCGCTAACTAGTCTCAATCCTTGCAACTCATATTTAGCACGACGTCCTGAACGGCACATGAATATACAGCATTGACGGATCAGACACAAATCATCTTCTTTTCCACATCGACCATGTTCCGTTTAAGTCGTCATTTTTGCTGTCTGTCTAAGCAGAAGATGCATGCTTCTCGACCCGCCGTATCGAATCACATTGGCAAATCGACTGAAGATCTCAATCTTCCACACCGCCAGTATCATCTTCATATCGATTGCCAACGAAAGACACTGACAAGCTGCTCGCCATAAGAATGGGCTTGTTCAAAGTCGAGCTGATCGGCAAGCAGAATTTAGACCGGGAGGCAGCAGCAGCACGGGCTTTTATTGGTCCAGGCAATGCTTCTTTTCTTATCACAGAAGTAGCAAAAATCGAATCATTTAAGATAGTGTCTTTGTCAATACAAAATAAAAATGTCATGTCTAAATCAATCAGAAGAGCAGAACCGAGTAACAGGAGAGCGATAACAGAGGTGAGCATTAACAGCGGCTGTTTTCATTTCGTGCCTTTGTCTCGGAGGCTTTAGTTGCTGTACAAGTGCAGAACGACCGTTAAATTGGTTACCCTAAAGTTAAGCCGTTGATCAAACGATAGGTTCACTATCCAGAAAATAGCATTTAAAAGACTTTCGTTATCGATTGTTGTGCACCTTTGTTAATTTCATTGTTTTCTGTTCCGTATTGCCCCGTATCAGTCATTTATTATTCGTTACGCCTCCCGCGTTCCAACAGAACGCTCTAACCTTCAAAGGGATTGTAGTCACTGCGGTTCACGTTCCGATCATCATCATCGAAAACGCTAGCAGTGACTTACATTCGAATGGTAACTTTGTAATGGCAAACTTTAAGTTATCAGCCATCGTCAGTGGTCATGAGCACTGCTTGTGCTCTTAATGAATTTGTCCAGTAACTGAAGCAACGATTTTTACAGTAACGGTCCGTTTTTCTCGCTCGACTGACCGCGCCCAAAAGGGAGCAAGCTTTTTCGTGTCCTGCTCGAATAATAGCCATCAACTGTGTATAGCTTCATTTGCTAGTCCAGAGTGATACCCTTCTTCCCATAAGCAGTCGACGTTTATCTGTGGTGACAATTACCTTCAACGATATCTTTTCGCACTCAGGTGGAAAAGCTTTAGGATCAGTATACAGAAACAACACCCAATACGAGTGATGTCATAGCTTATACCTACAGCCATACAAAAATGGACTCGAAGTATATCCCAGTAATGGTCGATAAGTTAAAATAGCTATCATAGCCGACAGCTTCAAATGAGAAAAAATTGCAACAAGGTTAGCAACAGCGTATAATTGGTTGTAACTGCTTTGGTCAGTGCAAGCTCATGCGGGTACAGAGGGGTTGCGGGGACCCATGAAGGTTAGCACGACAAGCTGCCATCTATTCGTTCAAGAACGATGACGCTTTTATGCCTTCTTACGATGTCATCATCATATAACTGTTAAATTTACCAAAACAAAGCACTTTTTGCAAGAGCTTACCGTAGAAAATATCTAGCTATCTTTGTCGTCTCATTATCGAAACCTTCTTTTAAACCATTAGTATACGAAATATCATTTCATTGTGCTTAAGATTAGTCATGAGTGAGAGTTATCAAAAGAAGGAAATATATCGGCGACGGAATATTTTTTATTTCCCAATGACAGAAGAACATAAGGTAAAATTCACAACAATTTGCTTACATGAATTTCCTTGAACGTTCTGCCGGTGTCACAGGACAAAGCAAATGGATACTCATTCCGGACGTCCAGTTGCTGACCACGCAATCACTGCGAAGGGCACAAAAACGTTAAGTCCTCTGCGGTATCGGCCTGGGTGTCGGTCGTTACAACATGGCTATGAAAAGTATCTGTCTTAGCCTGATACTAATGCCATTCAGATTGCCATAAATAATCGTCCTATGATGCTAGCAAAGTATCACTTAATCGTAGCGAAGCGATCATGGCTACTGCCTTTTTCACTCGAAATGTTAGATGTATACATTTTTGATAACTTTTATATGTATAAAATTAGAAAACATATATATAGGTTTAAGTTAAATAATTGCAGATCGACTCAAAACGTTGTACGTCAGCGGAACAATGCGTAAGTGCGCGTAATACGTACCTAGAAACGCCTGGGCCAATATCTTGCAACTATTATTATTTTTTTTTTATAACTAGCAAATTGTTTGCTACCTCGTTTCGCTACTTACCTAAGTACAACGATAGCACCGCTAAGGAACACTGACGTTTCGAATCAGTCTGTACTGTCATTCGTTTGTCTTTATTTTTGCATAATTCGACGCTCGACCTTCGATAATTGCGTCCTCAATAAGGGCAGAGCTATAATTTTTGTTATCAGACAGCCTAAATGAGTGAGGCTTATGAATGATAGCGCCTGAATCCCTTGGAACGATCATGCTCCTAAGGGGCATTTCCCGTATAAAGCTAAAGAACGTCACGTATAAGCTACGTGTCAAATGTAGGGAACGATTTAACACAATCAGTGTGAGCTATCCAGCATGAGCCTTTATACCTGGCCCGTTCTGTCGTCGCGGGGACACTGAGCACGTATTGTTAGTACACGCTTGTTTCGATCTGTAGTGGGGTCAAATGGAAGGGTCATAAAAATGGTATAGTAATTGATATCGATGTGTTACCGGTATCGATAGCATTCTCCGGGTGTATTACCACACTTACGAGGGTATAGCTGATAGATGATCTGCATACTAGTGACACATGGCTGCGTTGTTAGTGTCCTACAATCCATAATTGGTAGCGTGAATAGACTTGACGCTTAAAACACACCCTATGATAACAGGGGTCGTAGATTTCGTACTTGTGCCATGAAGGATTTTTACCAACTTGCCTTACGTATTATCTAATTCGAAAAAAAAAAAAAAACACTGTACAGTATATGATCTCCATGTACGTGTTCGAGAAATATACGTATACAGAATGATCTAAATTAGTACGAAATGTTTGCCTATTGGCTAACCCTAGTAGCAATTGCAGACGACAAGCCGATGATAAAAACGCACTATATTAAAAGTTTTGCCATCCCAACTTTTTCGAAATTATCGGGCAGAATTATTGACTTTTAATTGTTACGTTTGTATGATGACTCATGTTCTTGTAGAAACAATCCCGAGTCGTCCGCCGGCAAAACCACCACGTTTTCGTAGCAGCCAATCTCTGGCGGCGTCAAACCGAACTAATAACCTAAACAGTTGTACGAGCGATCGGCAGGCGAGCGATATCGGCCGACACAAGGAAAGCTTTATCAAATTCGGTTACCCAAGTGGCCAGAATGGTCAAGCCCAGGGACGACGCACACCTCCCCGTGAAAATCAACGAAACAAGGATGAGGTTGGTAACATACTTCAAAACTGGACATTTTATGACACTTTACGTTCTGATTTCATAAGTCGAAATCCGCTGGCACATAAGCATATAGTTTTTTTTTTCGTTTAAATAAGCTAATTTAAATGGTCTACTCTACAGCTGTTACTGATTTCGTTGGTTAAACATTTTCTACAGATAATACAAATTTGGGTACAACAAAGGATCAGTTAATATTTATCTAATCCTGTATACATAAGGCTTTATTGCTTCGCCTTGATGGTTACACTCATAACTAACTTGCTACAATTAATCACTATGATCCAGTCGTCTGTTGTTGCTAAACTAAAAAATTGATTGACACTCCCTGTGATACTGCGAACCGAAAACAAACCTAGACAATAAAAAACATTTCTATGCTTCTTTTTCTCTACAAGTGAGGATGCAACATTTTATACTTCTTCAATTGCCTCCCTGTATCATGTTTTCGTTTGTTACGCGGTCCGATTAGTTTCATAATGTTGTGAACCCAACAAAAGTACAAAAAGACCGTGAACTTTTATTATTCCATTGTTATATATTCGTATCTTAGCTTTTTTTTTTTTACTCTGTTTGCCTCTATAGTTCTTATTAGACTTTCTTACTTATTTTTCAACGTTCACGGTCAAACTGCTAGAAAAAAAAAACCTACGTGAGTAGCGTTTTCCCCGTGACGAAGCACCCCTCATTAGAAGTGTTCATTGTAAGCAACAAAATCACTAAAAGTAGCAGAACTTAAATTATTATACATGAAAAGCTCAACTCTTCGCAAAATGGGTTGGCTTTTTAGCGCTCGCCTATGTCGCCATGCCGTGTTCCTGCTCTGTATGGACAGCGGCGTATGCTACGTAGGACAAGGCCCTGCAGCCTGTAGACCAGCTTCTCGGATAAAAGGCGCCATCAACGCTCATTACTAGGGACGAAAATTGTCGTTTACATTACTATGATCACTGCGTAGCACCAGCGTATATACATCAATTAGTCTGTTTCAAAGAAGAGATAACAGAGATGCTTCATTAAGAACGTCTGTTCATACTGAATTCCAATTCCAGTACTTGACTGTACACGTATCCATAACCAAATTGCAGGAGATCTGCAATTTAGTTTCCTTTACATGTTCGCTGGTTTACATATTTTATCTCATTTTACATTGGTTTCCCTGGTTACCATTGCGTTGTTTTGTTGCTATACACTGACGCTGTGTTGCTCGTAATCTTGGTCAGCCATTGTACTCTGGCAGTCAATGGTCAACAGCTAACCATTCAAAGCAAGTAATCTCTCTCATTATAGTTTGAGTACGAAAAAGCATCGCACACTAATAGGAAGTTGGGCCACAACCAATAGGAGGGTAATAATCTTGTTACTATACACCGTCGTTAGCACGAACATGTGTTATAAATTGTTATCTTATCATTGAAACGTTTTATAAACAATATGATAACACTTAAACTAAAATCAAAATTAAATCTGTAGGGTAATCTCCCCTGTGCGACAGTGTTTCCAGTTCGATTGACTTGATTCAAGTAACAGATGAATGATCCACTGTTTTGCTCTGCGTTATTCGATTTTTGCGCTATGTTCTACGACAACATGGAACGGCGTCAAGCAGTCACCTGTATCAAAACATCCTGTAAAGCTGTCCCCGTTGGCATTAGCGTCTTCTATGGAAGGCGTTGAAATCCGTACTCTGGCCTACTTCGGTAGAACAGTGGCTCCACCTACACTGTACGATCATCAAAAACGAGTCTCAGGATTAACTCATCGCGGAATGGCAGATGGGCGCCTTCCCACGAGCAGAGCTCGTGCCAACTCTGAGCTCCCGCATGTTACTAGTGGCTCACTCAGGAGGAAAAAGAAGCCGCGTCCCGGTGAGTGATGTTCAATTTCGAAGCACGTAACATGTACAAGATAGCCTATTCTTCTGTTATCTTCGCTACTTCATGAGCGAGCCGTCAATGATTGTACTGCTTGCAGAACGCAAAAATTTTTTGTAAATACGCTGAATAAGGGAACGTCCGGTTCATTAGATGACATTAAGATGCGTATAGGCGAAACTAAGCATGCCGTTCTTAGAAGGGTTGGCATTACCGACTTGCCATAACGTTGGGCAAGAGTCAAGCAAACAAATGAATGACACATTATTCAATACAGCCTTTACAGAAAAGTTTAGAAATAGGCAAATAGCTTGAAGAGGCCTCTTGAGTCAGCCGATATTACGTATGCTCCGGTCAGAGCAACGTTACGGAGGCGTTTGCTGCGGAATTTCTATAATAAGGCTAAAACAGAAAACCGACAAAACCCTTTTTAATCTGCTCCGCGGGTTTTCGTTGAATCCTTGATTACATATAAAAGCTTCGTAGATCATGTAGCGAGTTTGATTGAGTTATATCTATTGTAACTCAATAAAATCATAGCTAGGCATGTGGAGAATAAAAAAAAAAAAGAAACATAAAGAAGAAGTTTTTTATGCATTGGTTGCTTCTAAAAAAACCATGAACAACAATAACTTCTAAGAAATCACATTTAAATCCACTATAAAAACATTAATCGCGGTGCGTGCTTGAAACTTTTTAGGGTACGAATAAATCGAAATTTGATGTATTTGAAGACGTTTAACATTTTCCACGAAGAAGTAAGGCTTAGTCTACGTTTACTGGGTAAAAAAATATTGAATAGCTAGTAGAATTTCTAGAAATTCAACAGACGCATGTGACATCTCTGACTTACTGTCGTGTGATTTTCCATGAAATAGAGGAGCGAAATTATTTTTAAAAAATTGGCCCATTTTATTTAGAATCGATCAATCTTTCAAGCTTTCACTGATTCCAAACTACATAGAGTTTCTGTGTCTGGTACATATAAAAATAGTGGGCTATGTATCATATCAATCCACGAGCTTTGGAACCTTTTTACTACTACTTTAACCCTACTGATCGAGCTTCTTTCTGTCTATCCATTTGACGAGCATCAGACCGTATCAGTTTGAAGAGTTAACCATGCCAAGTCATACGTGTCGTGTCATAAGGAACTGAATGGGGATTTCTCAAAACGTAACCCGTTTTGTCGAAGTTGTCGGTAAACACCGAGTGAGCCGATGTAACGAGTGAACAGCATGAAGGTGACCTCTGCCACTAGAGGGACAAAATAACCCAGTGCGTCCGATACGCTAAAGACTGTGAATGGTATCGCTACTTCCAGTTTGCAGAAAGGCTGAATATACCTTATAGTCCTCGTGCAAATATCCAGAAATGCTGCGATCAGACTCTGTTTGATGAGTTGTCGACGCATTTCTATTACAGAAAATGTAGCCAAATAAGAAGCCATACACGTCTTCAAAATGTTTATGATTATCTACCTCTTCGAAGTGCGTAAACGTCACAAGCAATTAGGCGACATGGACCGTTAACTTGTTAGCAAAAAAATCTCTGTTCGCATCTGAACGCATCCTTACATACTGTGGCTGAAGAAGCCGATTTCTACAAAAATAAACTGGGTAAAACATCTCATTCACTTGCCCCTATGTTGATATTTTAGACTTTCGATAAAACGGATTTCTTCTTGAACAAGATGGATAAGACCAACTAAAGGCTGACCGCTGCATTTATGGATATCTGTACGAGTGCTATGAAGTACGTTCAGCCCTTCTGCAAACTAGAAAGAGCGATATCATTCACGGTCATTTGCGTATCTGATGAATTACGTTATCTGGCATGCAGTCCAGTGGCAGGCGTTAGCTTCGTGCTGTTCACTGCTCGTTTCGTATTTATCGACGACTTGAAGGAGAAAGCGAGCGGCAAAGACAAGACGATCTATAACGCACCTGCGACTTGGTCCGAACCCTGTGGATCCTGCGAGAAGAATCACCTCCCACAAGCAAATGTACCGATACACTTTCACAGCTCGACCCATAATTTGTGGGACAGGATTGCCGAGCGGAAGAGCCATGACTGCTTCGATGACTAAGATAAAGTTCTTGTCCTTGCTACGGCCGGCTGCTGAATCGCAAGTCGGTCTGAGGGTAAACAATATTACAAAGGCACATGCCTTCAGGCTCAGCTTAATGTCTGGCTTGACCTTACGCTAAAAATCCGAGTATACTTTAAACATTCTATTGCATCTTCTCCTCACCCTTGTGACCTCTCCGAAATTGTAGAGAGCACAGCCGACCGAGGTATTCTGGAGTGCAAATAGATCGGCGAGTTTTTGCGCCTTGACGTAGCGTTTCGTAGAGACAAAATTAGAAATAAGAAAGTATAGTATCTAAACTTTCTGACTCAGACAATTGGTCCTTGTCTTGGTTGGCCAGTGTGACAAATGTGTGCGTCTGCTCCGTATTAATCACGTTAGTGTTGTGCAATCTGTGTACAAATTAACACGGGACTCAAGTGCGGTTTATTCAAGATAGTTCTTTATTCAACTCAATTAGGCAAACGTTTGACACAGACGCTTGTTTGTCTTAGTGTATTGTATTAATCTTCATTTGGTAAAGTTTGGGTCAGAAGAATGGTGATATATTTGGCTGTGATGTTTGAGGACTATAATACTATGACATGGATACCACTGCTTTCAAAGAAGAAATCGACGTCTCGAATTTGTCAAGGTCAGTTGACGCTAAATACGAGGGCTTTAAACACACTACTACTTCAGTGTATTTATGATCTTCTTTATTTAATTATATAATTCCTTATATATCTTTATTTATAAAACCAGCTTAAATTATTCTATATATATATAAGTGCGGCGGCCGGTATTACTCTCTATGTATCTAAATAGATAAGCAGATTTTTCAACAAATATTTTTTTGCAGAAGTGTCATTCCTGAAGGTCATCTTAATTTGATGTGACCACCACCTACCGCGATTATTAGCTTCAATTTAGGGCATAAACATACCCACTAGTCATTTTCTGAACCGTACGTCAAGCAATGTTGATAAATATAAATATAATAAATGGTAAAATATAATAGGAATCAGGACCGATAGCACGCCAAGAGCCCCAAGAAATGCGCAAGTATAAAACAGTCAGAAGGTACAAAGGATCTCCAAAACGCTAGCTATTGTAGCTTATATAGACAACTTAATTGGCGAAAACTATTGTTAATTTTTTTCGTACAAAAGATCTAAATATATCAAGATGATTTCGATGAATTTTTGACATCTTGAAATTTAAAAGCTGTCAAGAATGTTTGTCGCGTGAAAATTGGCACTAACATTTGTATAAAGTTTGTTTTAACGCTAACTTTCTAGTTTGCGATAGAATTGCTACCCCAAGACATTGGTACTGAGAAAATTTTTCTGTGATCTTGTGTGTGTTATATACTAATCGAGTAGAATTTGGAACCGATTCTGACTAGAGCGCGCAGCAAGCATACAGTAAAAAAACATCTTGGACCAACACCTTACCTGTATCTATACGCAAACCTTGAATAGTTGCTTGAGGGTCCCGCCGATGATAGTAATGACAAATAATGAAAAACATCTTGATTACCTCATTTCTAAGCATATATGCTGGGCACCCGCTGGAAAACATACAGACACCTAAATGACTACACGTTATGTCAACGAACGGATGAGAAACTTCGAACGCCATTGTTCTACCAGTCCCTAATTAACTTTGAATTTGGTTAAAATCCTTGTCGACAAAGCAATATTTATGTCACATTCCCTTTCCGGCCGGGATGTATATATATATATATATATATATATATATATATATATATATATATATATATATATATATATATAGTCGGATTTAGATGGCGTTTAAAGGCTTGACGCACTGTGAATAAGATAGACTCGAGCGTAGTGATTTAGAACAGCCGATAGATATTTTAAACTATTCATTATAACCAGCACAGAGAATGATGGGAAAAGACAGAAAGCGCAGCCCACAAAGTAATCAGAGCTTGCAGCCGGCCCTATCAATTGGTACTATCTGGCCTATATCAACGTATGTAAATATAGCTTTTGCTGTCGTAGCTACACATGGTAATCGTCTGATGATCTGTAACAGAACAGAGATTTCGAGTTTTACGTCAAGCTTTGCCGTTGCTTTAGATATGCTCCGCATTTAATCGGTCCGTTAGTAACCCGCTAAGATGACGACTCGTATGGAAGTCAGCGACACTTTAATGCCTACAGACGAGTACAGAAGCAAAAATGGTAGCAAGTGCATGGATCGACGAAGAGCTAGAGAATACGAAAGATGAAAATTCGATTCGAGAAAAGCTACTGGAAGTATTAAGCTACCACTGTAAGCTCTGTAAACCTACTTTGCCTTATTCGTCGATGACCTAACGTAGGTCCACGCTTGGTGACTGCACAAATAAGTGACAACTGAAGTGTCACACGAAACAGCTCCAACACCTGTGGTACCCAAGCACAGGCATGATAAGGCTCATTCCTATGTCTAACAATACAAACTAACCCGTGTGCCTGTGCAACGCGCTAGATACACTTCGTACAATACAGGCACCCTCCTAAAGCACTACTGAAAAGTAAACCTGTCAAAGATGAGATGACTGAAAAACAGTTACGGAAGAGGTCAGCTGAACAATCGAGGTTCATAATCATTCGTGGACGCCAAGCGACAAGAGCCACTCAGCCTAGTTCTACTGAATATTAAATAAACAAATAGCACGTTTCCAGCAAAGGTGTTACTTTGAGCATGCACGTACAGTGATTCAATAATAACAAAAAAAAAAAAAAAAAAAAACAGTTATAACGATTGTGCCCTGTTAAGAGATTCGTTTTTGAGTATTTGTTCGTGTTTGCAATAACTCAGCTGTGACCTATGGCATGTGCTGAGTGGACGATGTTTTGTACCCGATTAACAAATGTCAACACATAGAACAGGACTAGACGCCGTT